TTTTTTTTTTTTTCTGATAGAGAACTCAATCAAAAGAATTGGAATTAATTTTCAGGTTGGAATAAATCTGCCCAGGCAGAAAAGAGCGAAGCTTGACTATGACTATGACTATTTTCAAGGAATGTATGAGCTCTCTTCATCTGAAGAGGAGCTCTCAGCAGATGAAGCAGAATATCAAAACTCTCCTCTTACAATAATATTTGAAAGCGTATGTATGCTCATATCGTTTATTAGTAGTTATCGTCGATTTCTTAATTCTACGGTTGTGCCACTTTATGTATATGCTGCAGGAGAATACGCATGAGGAGCTCTCTCCTATGGCCCAGCTCCTCGTAGAAGAACATCCCGAACTCATCCCATCAGCAAAAGAACTTCTGGATGCCCTTGACCTTGATGAAAACAAGCATGCTCAAAAGACGATGGAGCTGTTGAAAAACCAACACGTTCGCCAAGGTTTGGTGAAAATTTTTGCTTATGGTTACGCTCTTTTCGGGGCTGTAGACATGGTGGCAGAGAATGTGCTGGAGGACATAACGGTTGCTAATAGGGTAGCTCTTATTAAACGAGATCCCTTGTTGGGTGCATGTCTCTCGGGAAAAGAGGACGTGGATATAATGAGGTTGGTTTCTCTCTATCTATTCACATGACTTCACGAGTAGTTTCTACAAATTGGTCATTGCGGATGCTTAGATAGACTCATTATGATGCTTCTTTTACGTGTCTATTATTGCTTGCTGTGAGGTGTGAATAGAATATAACCAAAGTGCTTGGACTCGATAATATGTTGATTTAACATGGTCATATCCCTACAATTAGATTGATTACCTGTTTTTCTGTTTTCTTTGATTTGTGAAGGGGAGCCTTGTGCATTTTAGTTGGCTACTGGATTGATAAAAGACTGCAAAGATGGCTTAATAAACAGGCTACAAACCTCTGTAAGTGCATGAAAAAATTATTCGCAAATATTGTGTCTTTGATTTTGCCTTACGATGTTTAATCGGATAAACATTTGATCAATGTTCGGAATTGCAGAAGTCTTTTCTCTAATATTTCTTGTTATTGTTTCTTATTGTTGTGCGTGCAGTCGCCCCAAAGTCGCGGCAATACACAAATCTGCCGCCGTATTAGGGCTACACAAGATGTCTCAGATGGCGTTGGCTTGGTAAAAAAGCATATGAAGAGGAGAAAGATTAAAATAACCCACCAGCAGTTGAATCCAATAAGTCACAAGAAAAACTCCAATTAGCTTGCACGTTTACAACCAATTATGCTCTTGAAAATGAAAAAACAGGCAAAGTTTAATGAAAAATTTAACATTAAGGTCTAATTTGTCTAAATAATAATTTTTTTTTCTTCGAATTGCAAGCTTTGTTGTAAGAAAGTTTGAAAAAAGAAAAAGAAACTAAACAAACGCAGTTCGTTAGCAATGTAAGAATGTTGAAGTGCTGTGACGAACAAAATAAAAAAAAAAATACAAGTCTCTCAAACACTCAATTGAATCTTGAAGAATGATGAATGATTTGCAACAACTCTCTAGTCTTGATTGATTGTTTGAGTAGAATTATATACAATCTCCTTACAGAAAGGAGTTATCACAAGTTCTTCATTTTCCTTTTAAGAGTCAATTTCCTTCCCATTGATTGCCTTTTGATTTGGATGAAATCCTTCATGTAAAAGTAAGTTTCCTTGATGTGGAATTCATATATGTGATTTGGAGATCTTTAGGATTAAGCTTCAAATAGAAATCTTGGTTCCCAGAATCGGGTAAGAACGTGACTTTTCAAAAATAGCCGATCTTCCAAATTTTCAAAGATTTTGTGGTGATTCTTTCTGAATCCTCCTTAGATTCTCTTATTAACGTCCAGAACTCTTTTTGTATGGATAGCTCATCATTTCATAGTCTTTGCCACCTATTCCTCATTCTACAAGAAAGAGAGAACTAATTATGGCATGTGGCATATATGGTAAGTAAATATATAAGATATATATTATGTAATCCTTCTCCTAAAGAATTGGGATTCCATAATACATACTACAAAGAATATATATCGTATATTTATTAATAATAAACATTAGAAACTTAATTAAATCACAAGTAAAAAAATAGAAAAATTTCCCTTTAATTTATTTTGCTTCCTTAACAATAAATTTTCTAGAAAACACTACGGTTTATCAGACGATGCCAAACCAATGTTCTTATAGACGTGAACTTCGGCCTCGGCACTCGGATTACTCACGCACGGATGTAAACGGGAATCTCCAACACGTTCGTCTCTCGTGAATGAAGGCTGGACCTTCGAGGATTCTCTCGATTGCAAGACGAGACAAGGCTCAAGACAATGGGGTTGGTTGTTGCTGATCACGAATTCCCTCTCTCGGGCACGCGAATGACGAGGGTTCCCAACAAAACAACTAGGTGGGGTGGATGAAAGGGCTTTGCCGGCGATTTAAGGGGCTAAGATTATGGAGTGTTTCGGTCAATGAATGAAGGGATTTGGACAATAAGTGGGGATTTTCTGATCGATGAATAGCGGTGCCATCTCACTCATCCTTTTCTAAGAAATCTAAATATTTGATTCTAGTGTCTCTCGGTTGGTTCCCCCTCTTTGCAGGGTAATGACACCAGTAGCTGTGGCGGCCTTAGGGTGGATTTGGCTCAAGATAGAACAAGAGAATGGTTGACATAGTTTCCGTTTCTTGAATACCGAAGCGGTTCTAACAAATGGATTTGATTGCACTAGTAGAGGATTTTTTTCACTGAAACGCCGACTTCTTTTTGTGTCAACAATCCTTGTGACAAGATCAGTAAGGAAAAGTGTTTATTTTTCGTTGGGGATTCCATGGAGCAGGTCTTCTAGACACTAAAAGCAGAGGAACTGCCCACATATAAGGGAGAGAAAAAGGAAAATTCTTTGCTTGATGATGAATAAAATTCTTCCTCATTAAAGGGGTCAGTATTAAAGGGGTTGAGTGGGCCAGTATTAAAGGGGTCATGCTACAGATGGGTTTTCATCTAGTTTTTGTGAAATGGATTATGGCTTGTGTTGTCTCTTCCTCATTCTCTTTTAACATAAATGGCAAAGTGAGTGGCCTTGTGACTCCTTCTAGGGGAATTAGACAGGGTTACCCTCTGTCACCCTATCTGTTCCTTATTATCTCTGAGGTTTTTTCTGCTCTTCTTGCTCACAAAGTCAACTCTGGTCTGATTAGAGGAGTGAAAATCTCCCACAGGGGGCCTATGATCTCTCATTTACTTTTTGCTGACGATGCCATAGTTTTCTGTAAAGCTGACAGTGTGAACATTGAGGCTGTGTTGGATGTCTTGAACAAATATCAATATTTCACAGGACAAACAGTCAATTTGAGTAAATCCTCCATGTTTCTTAGTAAAAACTGCTCTGATTCCCTCAAATCTCAAATGTGTGCTTTGCTTAGAGGAGTTGTGGTGAAGAGGTCGTCTAAATATCTGGGGCTTCCTTTGGGGATCAGTGGGTCCAAAAGGGAAACTTTTCAGTTTGTGGTGGAAGCAGTAAGGAACAGGATTGGTAGTTGGAAAAACAAGTTCTTATCAATTGCTGGTAGGGAAATCTTGATAAAGGCTGTGCTTAGTGCCCTCCCTGTCTTTGTTATGTCTTGCTTCTTGTTACCAACTGGAGTGTGTAGGGATATTTGCAGACTCATGGCTAAGTTCTGGTGGACCAAAGGAGAAGAGCATAATTCTGGGATCTATTGGAAGGCTTGGGAAAAAATCACCATTCCTAAAGATGCTGGGGGATTGGGTTTTTATGACATATTCTTATTCAACAAAGCCCTGATTCTTAAACAGTTGTGGAGAATACTGTCTCAACCGGACCTTCTGGCTTCCCAAGTCCTCAAGTACAGATATTTCCCCTCCACTTCCATTTTTGATTACAGGTCAACTCAAGGAGCATCATGGTTGTGGCACTCTTGGGCTTCTTTAATCCCTGTCTTGAAAGATCATGTGGAAATATCAATTAAAAATGGGTTGGCTACTCCCCTAAATGAATACAACTGGGTGCCTGGACTCAAAGGAAGGAAACCGGAGCTAAAATCTCATGTTGATGCCAATGAATTCAGAGTTAAGGATCTGATGTGTGGGGGAGAAAAATACTGGGATGAAAGGCTCATCAGAATTTTATTCAGAGATGAGGATGCTGATAAAATCCTCCAGATAAAGTGGCTCAACCCTTTGAAAGTAGACGCATGGAACTGCTCTTTGTCAATTAAAGGGACTTTCAGTGTTAAAGCTGTGTACTCAATGTTCCTTCAGGGTAAAATGAATTCTGTGTGCACTGCTGAAAGTAGTGCTCTTGCTGCTGGTAATCTCAGAACCAGAAGAAGATGTTGGAGATTGAAAGTGATGAGCAAAATTAAACATTTTGTGTGGAGGTGTTGCAACAACATACTTCCAGTGCAATCAAACTTAAGAAAGAAAGGAATCCAAGTGTTCAGTGAATGTCCTGTATGTGGGGAGGCCGAGGAAACTCAGGAACACATTTTGTTCCAATGCAGTAGAGCCATCAAAACTTGGAAACTTGCACCTGTACAGTGGAATAGGGTCCAGGAGGAGAGAATGACCATGAGAGAATGGTGGTGGTGGATCAGCTCAATGCCTTATGATGAAACCACTGAAGATAGAATCCAGCTTTCCACGTATATTCTTTGGTGGTTATGGCGTGCCCATAATTTGTGGATCTTTGAAAAAAAATGGCAACCATAAACTAGAATTATCCAGGCAGCCCATAGGGATTGGGCTGATTTCAAAAGCAGACAGGAGGTTTGAGCATGAGTGATCCAAAAGACAAGTCTAGGTCTAGTGTCAGTGATCTTGTGTTTTGGTTGGTTTCTGTTTTATTGCTTCTTTGTCTGTATCTGTTGGTGGTTGTTCTTTTAGTGGCTTGTTTGCTGCCTGTGGGAGTTCTAATTCTGGTGTGATGTTTCTTGGCTTGCAGGGCTTAGTTTGGTGTTTTCCATTTGTGTAGTCATTTGTTCGGGTTAGGCGGCACGCATGTGTGTCCGTCCTCTCAGTATTGTGCGTATTTGAACAGTGATGTATTTTTGTTTTGTTAATTGAGATTTTCTGTCGTTTGAAAAAAAAAAAGAATAAAATTCTTTGCTCTCTCACACTCTTAGGTCATCTCCAGCCCTTATCTCTACTCTAGCGCGAACTTTACTCTATTCTAGAGTAGAGTTAAACATTCATCTCCAACCCTTCCTCTACATTTTACTCTACATCAAATATATTATTTTTATTTATTTTTATTTCAAATAAATTAGTATATATATGTATATTTAATCTTATATAACTATTTATTACCCAATTAATAAAAATGTATTTTATTTGTGATTTACGTTTGTTGTAAACTTTTAATTTAATGAAATCTACTTATTGAAATTTGTTAATTTTTATTCATACGGTACCAATTTAATATTTAAAAAATACAAAATAAAATTATAATACATCAATAAATAAAAAGTACAAAATTATTTAGTATAAATAATACAATGCACAAAGTTTTTTAGCATAAATATAAATTTACTAGTACACATTGTAAAAAATATTATATTAATATTACATTAAAATACATAAAATATAAAAAAATAAAAATAAAATAAAATAAAATGTAGCACAGTTGCTACAGTGTTGCGCCACATGTGGCGCAACACTATTTATTCCTCTCATCTAGCGGAGATATCAGGCGCACCATTGGAGGGCAGATGTTCGCTATTTTAGCGCAAAGATACATATGTAGCGCTGCATTGCTAATGGTCTTATTAAGCTCAAGGGGGGGCGTGATTTAGGGGCTGAAAATCGACTTTAAGGCTGACTAAATAACACAAGATAATTTCCACGATTACAAATGTTAAACGGGCTAGCCCTAGCGGTTACGGGTTAGCCTTAGCGGGCTTCGGG